TTCAGCCCAGAGTAGCCCATTATATGGAGAAGAAAAATGCTAAGGTATAATGAGTTAATATTCAAAAAAAATGAAATAAAATTTATTATACTTCTTTTTATGAAGCATTAATCAATTTAAGAGCTTCTGTCTGTGTGTGTTTTGTATATAATTTTTATATATAGCTGATTGAATTAGAAGAGTTAAGATCTAAAACATTTGAAAAATCACATGGACCACTTGTGAAAAAACTTGATGAAGTTCTATGCGGTCTTCATGTTCAAAGACAAGCTTATCATGGGAAATGTTTTATTGGGAATCATGTTCATAAAATGTTGAAGGTTTTTCTATACTTATATTTGCATATTTTTCTCAAAAATATCTTCTCAAATACATAAGTTCATAAATACATAGAGGTTATTAAACATTAATTTTGTAAATGTGTTCTAAAATTTATTCTTTATTCATTAGCTAAACAGTATTCTAGATCTTTGTAATTCAATACCTAAAATAGTAAGTGATCTTGGATTTATTGGTACAGATGTTCATAACGAGGCGAAGGTCTTGAGTAAGAAATTTGTTGCTTTGTTCTCCAAATACTCGACATGCTACAACTTTATGAATTCAAGTGAAATAATTAACAAGAATCCAATATCAGAATTAGGTGAGATTATATTTTTTAAATTATTTTTTATTATGAAAGTTACTCGCATTGAAATTATTTTTGCAATGGTGTTCATAATTATTTCTTTGTTTTTTAATTTTTTATAGAAAGAGCCATTGATAAATTAATGAGTTACTTTCGTAAAACATGGCCCAATGAGTCCATTACTCCAAAAATGCATTTGTTAGAAAGTCATTGTGTTGATTTTATTAGAAATTGGAATTCGGGTCTTGATATTTATGGAGAGCAAGGTTTAGAAAGCATGCATGCCGAATTCAACAGTATGAACAGCACATTTTGTCATATGAAAGGAAAGCAAAGACTGAGAAGTATTTTGTCCAATCACTATATCAAAAACTCTCCAGAAGCTTTAATAATTAGACCAACTATTAAAAAAAGAAAGCCTTATAAAAGAAAAGCTTGAAACGTGAAACTTTATAGATGAATTTTAAAATCAAAAAATGTATATTATATAACGATTTAATTTTTAAGTGTGTGTGTGTGTGTGTGTGTGTGTGTGTTTTCCAATACAATAATTCCTAACGTTTTCTTTAACATCTGGTAATTTCATTTAGTAAAATGGAAATTTTATTAAAAAAGCGGATATTTTTTCAGCGATAATAGTTCATAAATTACAAAGAAAAAAAAATTACCGGTTTCTCAAAATTGGACATATTCTTTATATACCTAAACTTTAACTCTTAAACATTTCAGGTTTTCACGAAAAATTTATTAAAGTACTTATTTATCAAGAATAATTAGACTTCCATAAAGTTTGTAACTAAAAAAATTGCAATGTTCTTGAACTTATAAAAAGTGAGTAAACACTTTTTTTTATATGTATGTATCTTTTAAAACTAGTTCAACTAATAATTTATTAAAATAAAAAAAAATCTAAAAACTTATTTTTATTAAAAGGTATAATAAATTTAGTTATTAAATCTGTGCTTTTTAATTTTTTTTTTGCGTTTTGCTCGCTTTATTGAAAACTTAAAGATAAAAATATTTGTTAATGCGCATGCCCAGAATAAAGTTCCATTACGAAACTGCCGTGAGGAATGCAACTGCAATCTATTAGGTCCTATAGGATTCATATAGGAAGAGTAAAACTGCTATAGTGTTAATAGTGTAATCCAATATACATCATATAATTTCTGCAAGACCTATAGGATTCCAATAGAGATAAACTAATATTTTAAAGAACGTAATTGAAATAATAAATCCTATTAGATTTTATAAGCCTTTTAAATGTAAAATACAACTTTCTCACTGTAAATTTATAGTCAACTAACATTATCAACTAACGTGTATTTATTTGTTTAGCAAATTTCAAGCAAATTTAAACCAAATAGAATTTGATATAGTTCTTTAGGTTTTTACTTGCTTGAAATTATTTTGCGTTTAATAACAAAATGTTTTACTAATTACGTTAATTTCGAGTCATTTTTTGTTGCTTTCGAAAAGTGTACTTAAAACTTTAATACTCAGTTGAAATATAAATCAAAATTCATTTAATAACAGATTCAATGTCTGAAATAACAAAATACTCTTATCTTGATTCATTAAATGACTCTGAATGATCTGAAAATGAAACATTAGGTTGTATTGGAAAAGTAATTAAAACCGGTAAAACATATTATTAATGAAATCCATTTTAAAGCAAATAAGAAAATAAGATAAGAAATTATATATATATATATATACACACACACACACACACTATATATATATATATATATATATATATATATATATATATATATATATATATATCTGGATTAAAAAATATATATATGGCTGATGATTGCCTAAATGGCATGAAACTTTAAGTTCCATCATAAAGTTGTATTTTTTCATTTAGTTAAATTTTTATATATTATTGATGATCTATTTTGTAAATAATGAAATTAATTTACATTTAATTGATCGCTCTAACAAAAGGTACAAGAGGCTTTGTAACTCTATTTGGTATAAAAAGACTTGCAACAATATATATATATATATATATATATATATATATATATATATATATATATATATATATATATATATGTGCGTGTGTGTTCACCAATTAATGATAAGTGTGTGTGTGGATATATACACACACACACTTATCATTAATTTGGTGAACATAATAAAAAATACCTGACTGCAAATCAGTATGATGTAATTAGTTAAGGAAGCGGTTGGCAATAAGGACCGGCGAATATTCGTTAAAATTCGGATTACAAAGTTTAACGAAGTTGAAATAGATATTTGGCTTTCAGTTAAAGTCAGTTACAATTTTTAAGTTTCATTTAACTTGCAGTTAAATTCGAAAGCTATAAAGTTTTTTTCAATTTATAAAGAAGAATTATAAAATATATTATATGTTTTAAGTATATGAACCTGTTTCTATTGGTTACAACCTTCTTCCAGAGTTGAGAGGGGGTTGTAACCAATATAAGAAATAGCTTCCTCGACTAAAGTGGCTCACTCAACTTTAGGAACATAAACGGATAAAAAATAAAAAAATAGTTCATGTTCGTTCGAAAACAATAAGAGTTTTAAAGACTTCATAACTTAAATTTTCATTATTACTGAATTTTTAGATTTTTATTTTGACGCAAATTGTTTTTTGTAAGCATATACTTTTTTAATAAATTAAAATTTGCTTGGCTTTACTTGTTGTATGTTAAGTTTTAAATTATGGTTAATTACAAGCTAAAAAATAATAACTTTAGTTTATAAAAAAATGGTTATACAGCAACCGCTGCGCTATGGTTGGAGTGCTTGTTTAGAAGCAATAGACCTAGGGTTCGAAGCAAGCTCTAGGCATATTTTGAACCATCGGTAAGAAAAAAGGTCTGAACTTTTCAAATACTTTTCCGATGTTTGAACTAGTTTAATACTTTTCCGTGGCAAAACTGTTAGGTCTTCTCGGAACATTCAAAACACACACAAAATAAGTTCTTAAAAAATTTCTTTTTTAATTAAATGTGTTTTTAAAATTTCAAATTCGTCTTTCAGTTAAATTCGGGCTACATATACGGCTTAAATTCGTCTTTCAGTTAAATTCGGTATACACATATAATCTAAATTTGGCTTTCATAGAAATTCGAGTCTTAAAAAGTCGACTTAACCGGTCCCTAGTTGGCAAGCTGTCGAAAGTTTGGCAATTGAAGTTTTTTGATGTAAAGTTTTATCATTGGACTTAAAGGTTTAAAACATATAAGGTATTGATTTTATAATATTTTATTTGGCACCACTATTTCCCTTTAACTTATATAATGAATATAATAACTTTTAGTTTGTTCATTTTTTTTGTTTTCAGTCTTCTACACTGAGCGATTTCCTAGGGAAAATTATGCTATGTTTAGAAAAGGAATTATTGTAAAGTACAATGATGAAAGCAAACTTGCAAACGAAGCATTGCTGTGCTTAAGAAAACTATTGTTGATAAAGAACATGTTAATAACAATAAGTTATATATTTGATAACAATAACTGGTTATTGACTTGATATTCTGTTGTTCTTTTTCTTTTTTTGTCAATTTGGTTTTAATCAAATTGAGAATTAAAAGATAATGTATGCAGGAATACCCTAAAGGACATTTCTAATAAATACCTTTCGACAACTGCAAATAGCAATCAGGTAAGATTTCAAACAGGATTCCTGTACATATATAAAACTATAAGATATTAATATCTTATAGTTTTATATGTACAGGAATTCTATTCATTTTTGTTCCAAAATCTTATAGTTTTTATCCTATAAGACACAAATTAACAATTTCCTATAGCTTTATATACAGAAATCCTATTCAATTGATTAGGATTTCTGTAAATATAAAACTATAGGATATTGTTCATTCGGTGTCTTTTAGGATAAAACTCCTATAAGGTTTTGGAACAGGATTTCTGTACGTCTATACCTAAAGAAGTTTTATATCCGGTGTCTTCTAGAATAGGATTCATATAAGATTTTGAAACAGGATTTTATAGGGTTCCTGTACCTCCATACTTGAAGGACTTTTATATCCGGTGTGTTATAGGATAAAACATCTATAAGATTTTGAAACAGGATTGTATTGGAATCTTATCCTTAAGAAATTTCTATAGGTTGTATTAATTGCTTTATCCTATAAAAAATCCTGTTCTAGTTTCTTATAGGAAGGTCCTATATCCTTTTTACAGGATATCCTATAAGACTTTTTGCCAAGGGAGCCGGCCTAGATTTTCCGAATTGATCTAATTCATTCTCGGTTGCATTAGACAAAACTTTTGATTCAATAAAACATAAACTTCTCATTAGGAAAAAAGCTAAAAATATATAATTTTTAAAAAATCATCATTGATAAAAAGACAATAAAAAAATGTCTGGTAAAAATCATTATATTTTTTTTTATCAAAATTTAAAGTTATTTAGTAGAAAATTGGAAAAATTCTAAATTTAAAAAATAAAATATAAGGACTTAATGATTCTTAATTATAATGCTCTTTAATTTTGGCCAGCAACGAATCACATGTGCTTTTAGCATCACCCAGCAACATGGAAGTATTTTCTTTGTAAAACACAGGATTATCAACATCAGCATAACCAGTTCCCATAGTCCTCTTCATAACAATAGTCTTAAATGAAAACCAAAATTAAGTAAAGATATGCGAAAAGAATCCTCTGCGGAAAAAAATAAAGTGCGAGATAAAAGAAAGTTTTAAGTAAGATCATTTTTACCTGAGCAGCTTTCCACACTTCTAATACCGGCATTCCTGCAATAATAGAGTTAGGATCTTCCTGAGCAGCAGAGTTCACTGTATCGTTTGCACCAATGACCAATACTAAGTCAGTCTCTGGAAAATCTTCATTTAACTCATCCATTTCCAAAACAACATCGTATGGAACACCAGCTTCAGCTAAATTGAATAAGTTGACTTTAAAAAAGTAGAAACTTTAACAATCAGATAATAAGAGTTAAATTTTTATTACAAACCTAACAACACATTAAGTTGACCAGGCATTCGACCAGCTACCGGGTGAATACCAAATCGCACGTTAATGCCTTTTTCTCTTAAAATTTTCACCATTTCAGCAATTGCATATTGAGCTTTTGCCACGGCCAATCCATAGCCAGGAACAATAATAATGTTCTTTGCATTAGCGATCAGTTCAACGGTTGAATTGACGTTTATCTCAGTATGAGTTCCAGTAATTTTCATTTTTTCACCAGTACCTTTAACATTTTAAAACGATTTCAGCAAAAAAACTTATCTATAACGAAAATTGTTATATTTAATGTCAGATTTTTTAGTTACCTGAAGTCAAAGTCCCATAGCCTCCAAATAGCACATTTGTAAGCGATCTATTCATAGCTTTACACATTATATATGAAAGTATACCACCAGAGAATCCGACTAAAGCTCCAACAATTGTGAGGAGATCATTATTCAACATAAATCCTTCAGCACATAATGCCCACCCACTGTAGCTGTTGAGAACTGTAATTACTACTGGCATATCTGCACCACCAATAGATGCAGTCATATGAACACCCATGGTAGCAGATAGTGCACTAGCAGCTCCTAAAAAGCATCGGATACAAATTAACTAACATTTTTTACTATCAAAATAATATTTAATAAAAACTCATTTAGTAGTAAAAGACAAATAGTTTACCGAGCATTGGTATGCCTAATGACGGATCATTGGTATTCATAAACACACCAAGAGCACCAACACTTGCTGTACCCATAGCTATATTATAAAAATTTTTTCCAGGTAAATTGAGAGGAGCAGAGGCAAGAAGCCCTTGAAGTTTTCCAAATGCTGTTAATGATCCTGTGAATGTTACACCACCAATAAAAGTACCAGCGTAAATTGAAGCTTTGTGCACATTACCTGACGGGTCTACTGTAAAATGACCTAAACAAATAATAATTAATTATTATACTTTTGTTTTAATTTTATTTTATTAATCTATATCTAATAAAATTTTTTATTAGATAAACAAAAATGAAAGTTACTTGGATCAATAAGGTAAGAACCAACTGAAGTTAAAACAGCAGCTAACCCAACAAAACTGTGAAATAGTGCAACTAACTGAGGAAGATCTGTCACATTAATTCTATTTGCAATTACTGCTCCTATAGTTCCACCTACAGCCATAGTAGCCCCCATTTGAGTAAGTAATTCTGCTGAAGGTGATATAACTCCAACTGTAGCTCCAACACCCCCAACAATACCAATTATACCTAAAATAGAAAATTTTAAACCAAAAACAAACATCTATAAAAAGATTTTACTAATTTACTAAAAAAAAAAAAATTATAAACTTAACCTAAAATTCAATTAACCTAAAGCATTTCCAGTCCTAGCAGTACTTTGAGTTGCCAAACCGCCAAGTGCACCAATACAACATAGAGATGAGCCAAGGTAAACCATTTGGTGCATATCTGAATAACCACTCAAACTTGTGGCTGCGTATCCTCCAGTAAGTAATACACCAGGTATTGCATACAAGTAATGATATTCTGGAGGATCATCTTGAAAATTCAAGTTATCAAATTAGAACTAAAGCTCAAAATTTAAAATAAAACCTTAAAATTAATGCTTTAAGAAAAAAAAATTACCAGGTCGTTTAAACATGTCTAACATTCTCTTTGTGATTATAAAACCACCTGTAATATTGATTGAAGAAAACAATGCTGCAGTAGCAGCTAAGTATTGAGGAAGGGTCTGGGGTATCAGCCCTCCACCCATAACTAACAATCCACCAGCTGCAGTTATACCAGATATTGCATTTGTAACTGACATCAATGGTGAGTGAAGTGCAGGTGTGACTCCCCATACAACTTTATAACCAATAACGCCAGCAAGAGAAAATGTGGTTAACATTTGATTGAAAGCCATGTTTGGCGATGCTACACCCAGCGCAAGGATAGCACCTAAGCCACCTAAAAAATTAAAAAAAAGGTACAAAATAACCTGACAAATATTACCTTTGGTTATTTGTCTGTTAGAATGGGCAAAACTTTTTTTAAATTAATGTGTACTTTTTGGACCACAAGTATTACCAAGAAATGTTTGTCTTTTAAGTTCCTTCGTTTGTATACTTTTTTTGAAGTTGATTAAAGTAGTAACAAGCTTTTATTTACTAATGATATTTAAAAGATTGTCTTATGAAAGAACTACTATTTTTGTTGCAGTAAAGTTGTTTTTTCTGCAAAAATTTTCTTGATCTGGTAAATTTGAGTTTATTTCCCTGATATATAAAATGATTCTTATCTTTGACATTTTTATATTGTTTAAAGAAATTTATATATATACATATTCATACTATAGAGTATACAGATATACTCTATAGTATGAATAGTTGATGTAGCAGCAACTCACTTGCATTTTTTCCCTATATCAGTCATTATATGTATTGAAACCTTCTTAGTCAATTAAATCAGTATGATGTCAGATTGCTGATCTATATGTGCTTTTGTATTTATGTGTATGTAGATATGGTGCATTTCACAGCAGATAATGTTAAAAGAGTCAAATTTTTTATCTCTTTTTGAGTTTTTAACTATAGTTTATTAATTTATTTTATTCTTTAGACTAACAGTTTAAATAGTATAATATTTAATAAAATTGTTGTGCGTATAACATAAATTAAACATGGAACATGCCACACCTACACAATAACGATTTACATCAATAATTAGCTTTGGTAATTATTGATAAAATTCACATGTTGATTTTTACTTTTATTCTGTTTTATATAAAAATACTATAAGGTCGATGCCATTTAAAAGTAGTTTAAAACTAGTCAAAAGTAAATACCACCAAATATTTATGATACAAATAAATAATAATAATAAAAATAATGTATTAACAACAATAATAATTAAAAATAAAATAATTATATAATGATAATAAACCAATAACAATTTTCATACAACAATTGTAAGCAACAAAAATATTTAGGGACAGTTAAGTGGATCAGAATCTGTATTGATTGCTAGAAAGTAAACTCAAGATGAAATATTAGAAATTTATTAATTGAAAACTCAAAGATCTAGCTTAAAATTGTAAGAAGAGATAACAATGTTTTGAAAGAGTTAAAAAGAGTTCCTGGAAATACTTTTTTGTTAAAAAAAAAGTTAAAAATAGTTTTGTTAAAAAATTTTTTCAGAACTCTTTTCATTTCGAAAAGAGTTCTGGAAAACATTTTTAAAAAATACCGGATTTAAAACCAGTGAAATAAATAAAAATTAAAGCTACCATCCTAAAATCCAAAATATTGTGTAGGAAGCAAAACATTTATCAGATTAAAGACATGAGCCCATGGACCATCACAAAATAAATTACAAAACAAATCCCAGTCAGTATTAATATAGTAAAAAATGTTATGATAGGATAAATCTATGATAAAAAAATGTTATGATAGGATAAATCTGATTCAAACCTGATTTTACAATAAATGGGTGAAAAAAAAAACAACAAAAAAAGCAAACAGTAAATTTAAATTAGTCTCAGAAAGAATAAACAATTCTGGTGAATTCTGCAAAAAGTAAGAATCAACCAATGAAAAAATCATTTTTTTCATTGGACCTTAAATACTTGTAAAAGATGGATCAAAAACATTTGGTGGTTTGATGATTTTTTGACATTTAATATTTGAAGATGCTGTAGTCATGGTTTTAAATTATTAGAGAACTTGACCCGAATATAAATAATGCAAAGTACCCTAAGTAATAAGCAGTTGCCTTCTAATAATCAAATGTTGTGACAAAATATATGCACAACATTATATTGTTAATACCAGGGCTTGAATTAAGCGTATTGCAATCGTGATTGCTTTTAACACCTTTGGGATTAGTTTTTTCTTAAAAACAATACTTTCGCAATTTTTTTTGGTTGTTTATTTACTTTTTTTTCTAAATTACCATTTTTTTTTTTTGGCAATTCTTAAAAAATATGTTTTTTTCACGTTAAATTTATCTTCTGAATAGATGATCATTTACTCTTTCGACTGGAAATTTTCATTTGAATTTAAATTATTTTAAATCTCTGCATGGAAGCCAATAATATTCAAAGGTCATTAAATTGAAAAGTTGAAAAGGGAAAAGATGTTAAAGCAAATTTTTTCTTCATTCTTTTTTTTTTTTTTAACAAATCAGCCTGGTTTTTATCTTTGTTTTTCATAATGGTGGATCAAATTAACTTATTATTAATAATTTATATTATTATTTTATCAACAATTTTATATTAATTTTACTACTTTAAGTATATTAAAATATATATTAATGCCTTTTTATTATTTTTTTATTTTTTTTTCCTAATAGTTAATCAATGCTAATAGAAACCAGCAACTTTTTGCTTCAACGTCTTAAACTTAAGGAAATATAATTCGATTCATTAAACTAATTTTTTTTTCTTTCACTTTTTATTGGAAAACAATTTGAACAAAAAAATTGAATAAAAACATCAATTTGAAAACCATTTGAATGAAAAACTTTATTATTCTTAAACTTATACTAGTCCTTTAGATCATAAAAAAATAAATTATAAAAAACGTGGTATCTAATTTTTTTTTCTTTGATCTTACTCATTTGGTCTATTGATTATAGACTCGTAGGTCTACAAGCATGTTTTTAAGCAAATATTAAGTTTTATGACAATAATTTTTTAATTTATTAATTATAAAAATTTCATTTATTTGCTTCATTTTATTTTAATCGCATTTTATGTTATTTAGGTTATAAACTGTATAAAACAGCAACAAAACAGCATCATGAAGTTGTTTTATTGTTTAACAGCTTTTTACAGTAATTAAATACTCTTTAAAAATAACACATATTTTATCTTCAGTATGAACGTATTAAATAGTTTTTTATGACTAATTAAAGTGGTTTTAATATTGTAATGTTTCCTTTTTACTTTTACGTTTTTAAGTATCATGTTAAGTAAAATATTGTAATGTTTCCTTTTTGCTTTTACTTTTTTAAGTAATAACTATTACTGTTATCATGTTAAGTAAAAACTATTACTAAAATTAAGATCTTAATAGTAACAAATATGTTACCAGCTCATTACACTGTAACTTCAACTTCAACTTTAAATTATAAATTAAGCTGTAAATTATAACACTAACCCACGCTATTTTAAACTCTGCCAAATGAGAAAATTAGAATGTTTTCATGTTTTGTTTTTTTACATTATATATTTTTAATAATTTAGAGAGCCAAAACTGAATTAAAAACTAAAAATTAAAAAGTAAGTAACAACCAGAGTTGTTAGTCCTTGGCCTTGCCTTAAAGCCAAAATATTTTGGCCCTGGCCTTTAAAAAAAACATATTTTCTTATTGACTTTGTTGAATTCTGTGCATAACTTTGGTCTACTGTTACAATATGCGGTTTTATTGTCACATCACTTGCTAATTACAGTTTTGTTAATAATTGCCCTTAAAGTAAGGTAAAAATTGAAGTCTTTGGTTTTGAAAATGTTTGAGTAGGCCTTGGCTTTTAAACTCTTAATCTTGGTCTTGACCTTAAAACTCTTAGCCTTGGCCTTGCTACTTTTGGTCTTGTAAAGACATGTACAAGTTTATTTATATATAGATGTAATGAAAAATACATGTAATATACCTGTAACCAAACCAGTTTCCTGTACAGAGGACTGCCATGGTGATTTAACTGGTGCAGTAATTTTAACTTTTTCCTTCTTTATTTGTACTGGTTGTGCAACTACAGGTGGTGGCCACATCAACTCACCATTTTTGTGAACTAAAGAGCCTCTGATAACTTCATCTTCCAGGTTTAAATTGTAATGACCTTTTTCACCAGCTGATAAGAGGAGTTTTGAAATATTATTAGCATACAAAGTGCTAGATTGAGTAGGAAGTCGACTTGGAAAATCAGTATATCCAATTATCTGCAAAAAATAAACTATTATTTACAACAGTTTTTATTTATTGGTATTTACTTTATCCCTACCATACTATTTTATTCTTATTTAGAAGATTTTATCAAACTGGTTATGGACTCAAAGCAGCCCAAAAAAGTCTTTTCGTCAAGGAAATAGTAATTTTAATGCAAACCTAGGTATATTCAACAGAATTATCAGTCTGGTTTACTGGAAATAAACCAAAACTGTTTTCAAGCTGGTTTAAAAATGATTAAAAATTGATAAGAAACATTAACTTTTGCAATTAATTTATACTAAAAATAAAATAAAAACAAGAAACAAAATTGACAAAAATAAATTTGGAATTAATTTAAAAAAGCTTTAAGAAATTTTTTAACAATATGCTAGTCACACAGACTTTTAAATGTCTTTAGGGTTAAATTTTTTTTTTTTGAACTAGAGTATAGGTATATATAAGATGTTTTTCACAAAATTTCAAAACTTCCAAAAAAGTTATGACCATTTTACTATTTTTATCAAAATCCACATTGAATTCACGAAATCTCGAAAAAAAAACTATATTATGGTTGTTTTTTTTGAGATTTCATGAATTCATCATTTAATCTGTTAATATTAAGACTAATATTAATAGATTTGTTGAATCCACGGCCTTCTATAATAACAGGCCTTGACATCGCTCAAAACGCCGTAAAAACTGAAGGACGATTAAACTTTCATTTATATTGATATGCTTCTATATTGGGTAGGGTGTAATAGCAGTCTGTGTTATCTAACAAAAATCTCTAATAAAGACGGAAATATAAAAGGAAAACCAAAAAATTGTTAAAAGATAATTATATTTTTCGTATTTCAAATTTCATTAAGAATATTAATGTAATATTAAATAGTATCAATAACAAGCAGAACCATAACAATGTATATATCTATATTAGAAAAATAACTGTATTTTTTTTTTTTTGCTTACAGAAACATAACTAAAAATAAAAGGCAACAATAAAAATCCCCAACAATAAAAAACACCAACAAAAATTGATTCGTGCAAAAAAAAAATCTAAACAGAGTAAATATTTACAAATCCAAACATAGAGAGACATTAAGGCTAAGGAGGAAATAAAAAACATAACACGTAAATAGCATAATAAATTACAAAACTAATTTTTACATAAATTATGACAGCTTTAGTATTTTCGCTTAAGATTCTTTGCTACTGCTGGGAGTGGTAATTAGTACGTAATTCTTTAGCAAAATATTAGAATATATTCTGCATTGTTTTTTTGTGATATTAAATTTATATTTAGCTGCAATGAACTGAAACTGAGTAACACAAAACGTTCTGCTTTATTTATTGAGCTTTCAAGATCATGTATATTATCCAGCAGTTCTTTTTCATCAGTAGAAATATCTCTAAAACATGTGTCACAAGTATGACCATCAATGCCATCAACAGGAATGTCAAGTTGTAATTTCAATTTAGTATGTTGAATATTAACTTTTTCATTTACAGATTTAGCGTTTATAAAGTAAGTACCTCCAGATCCCTGTTGAAGCTTAGAAAAAGCATTTTTAAGTGGATCTATTGAAAACCAACCTAATAAAACATACTTTGCTCCATTACTCAACAAAGTTTCTACAAGTTCAATTAAGCCATAACATGTATGTGCTATTGCACTGCTAGTATCTAACGTAAGCTGTTTTACACGCTTACCTGTAGGTTTCATATAATTTGACAGTTCAGCAATATCTCGTAGCAGTTGTAACTGTTGATCACCAACGGAGTGGATTTCTCCACATAATTCATTTCTAAACTGAATGCCAGCACTAGGTGCTTTGACATTAACAACATTCCAAAAAGAAATAATTTTTTCAATAAATACAGCAGTACCTTCAAATGCTTTATTTTCAATCTCTGAATGTGTTCTTAATGCAGCTACTTTTTATTCGCAAAAAACATACAAACAAAACTTTACAGATTGTCTCCCTATTGGTTTTGGATAAACTGATTTAGCTGTAAGTTTAGTGAGTTTAAAAAGACTATTGCACTCAGTTTTATATAAAGTTTTTAAATCACTCTACTTAGCCAAAATTAGTTTCCCATTGTTCAAAAATTGAAGTCTTATCTGTCAACCAATTGTTTTGTATAGATTTCAAGAGATGCACATAATTATACAATACATATATACCTGATGTTGTTAACCATGGTTTACTATCAACTGTTTTAAACATTTCAAAAAACCTTTGATTTACACAGTTACCATCAGTAATTATTGCCAGTGTCTTACTATTTTCTATATTATTTAGTGTATCAACAATTTGTTGACATTGAGCTAACTGAAATTCAGAGAAAAGATTTGCAACAGGTTGAGCTCTACACATAAATTCTGGACCTCCAAAAAGACATTTAATCATAAATGATAAAATTGTTTTAGCTAACTGTTCGATGTAGTTAACTGCTTGACCAAACAAAGCACCTCTTTGGTAAAGTAATGAAGCTTTGACATAAACCTCATCAATTAGTAGTATGAAAGTTCTTTTCAATGGATCTAAATTCATAAAAATACTATTTACAAAATTTAGGTCCTACATCAAGCTTATTTTTGAAGCCAATTGTGTTAAAATCTGTATACTTGGCAACTTTTAGTCAATACACAAACGATCATATAAACTTTGTCGCATAGCAAAATACTCATATGCTCTACATATAATATCTTGAGTATATAAAACTTCACCAATATTAACTTTTCTCATAGAATTAAGGTGCTCAAATAGAATATTTGACTGATGTGAACTTTCTTTATTTTTTAAAAATCTAACTGCTTAAAATCACTTTATATTATTGCTTAACTCAAAGCTGCTGCTGCCCATTTGTATGCATTTACACAGACTTTTTTTACCATACTTGGCCGAGTCTTTACCATACTTGGCTTTTCAGTTTTATTATAAATAGGATTCAGCATGCTCTTTATCTTTATACTTTTGAACTCAAGCAATAACATACTCTTGATATAATCTTTTAATCTTGATAATAATCTGTTAATATCTGCTTAATCAGTAATAAGATGGAAAAGGTTGCTTCATCAACTTAATTAGTAATAAGATCGACAATTTTTATTTGATAACTTCTGTAGTAAAGGATGAACCTTATGTTATTTTTGAATTAGGAAAGTAACTTTTAGTCAGGTAGTTTATTTAATTCATGCATTATGATAAAACAATAAGTCATTTGCCAATTGTATTTAAAGTACATTAATCTGTAATTTTTAAATTAGAAGATGATGATGACTCTAGAAGACTTTGCTCTTTTTAAAGGTCAAGAGGTCAAACTCCAAGTTGGTTTCCAAACATTTGTTTGTTAAACATAGCCCTTAAAACATAGTAGAAGTAGAGGAGAAAAATGATGATGACAATTAACTGGAGCATTGTGTTACTTTATTCCAGTATTATAGTTATAGGTTTGCTGTCAGACAAACATTTAGTCCTAAATACAAACTAATTAGTCCTATATAATTAATGTTTAAATTAATGCTGCTTACTCCTTTGTGCATGTTTGACTCTGAGTTTATAAAAAAGATTTGTAATGCTTGACCATATAATATATATCACTTTATATTTTTGACCACATGATAAGTTTTTCATAAATCTTTATTATCTCTATTATAATCTGTAATATCTGTTAAATCAGTAATAAGATCTTAAATTTTATATTAGATAATTTTATGCAATCATAAATTCTGTGTCATAAATGTGTAATATTAAAAGTGCTTCAATGTGTGTTATGTGTAGGTGGTTATGTTGTTTCTGTGGCTTTAAAGTGTTGTGACTTAGCTTGTGAGTTTACAGCAAGAGTGTAGTATTATTGTATTTTTTTTTAATATATAGCTCTAACTGCCTCTTCTGGTTTAGCAAATGTTGTTGTACTCATACTTGACTTGGTACATTATTTAATTGCTTTTATTGTACAGTACTATTTTATAATAATGTAGCCATCAAGCCATTATAATACTGTAGCCAATTAAAAAGCATTAAGGTAAAAAAATCAAATTTGACTTTCATACAAAATAAGCTAATTTAGATGCCAACAAACGTTATTGAATAAATATTTTCAAAAAATTATGAAAAAATTCACAAAAATTTTAAGTTTTAAAAAATGTTTTACAAAAAAGGTTCCTCTAATGAATATTATTTAATTGAATTTTTTGTGAAATATGTAATAAGCATCTTAACGCCGTACAAATATTTCTTTTAATTCAATCAATCAATGTAATAAGTCAAGTTTAAGTGAGTACAATAATTTATTGTTTTACTTATATTTATTAGTTATATACACTTATACTTGGCTTCTTGCATTGATTGATTGTTATTTTAATTTTTATGAAGCTACAGCTTCTGATACAACAAGAAAGATGTTGTACTCACTTATACTTAACTCAATATATTGATTAATTGTTTTTATTATTATTTTTTTAATATTAGATTTTTTATAAGTAGTATCTTCCCTTCCCTAAATTACTATCAACAATAATCAATGACAATAAAAAAAGGTCAGTGTCAAACATTTAATAAAGTTGCTATTAATCTCAAAAAGCCTTGGTTTTCATACAACCAATTCTATGTAGCATGCTCTAAAACCGAGTCATTTGCATTATACACGAATAACAAGTCATTTGCTAAACACCTGCATAACATTTGCATATACAAATGCATAAACAAGGTATGTCATTGAATGAAAATTTCACAAATGTTGTATTTCTAAATGTTCTTAATTTTTAGTTTTTGACAAGTATTTTCATGTGTCATATGTGGTAATGTGTTTTATTATGTGTTATATAAGGCTATATAACACATAATAAAATTTTGTTAGTGTTTTTTAATGTGTGCTGTTATTAGTTAAAATATGTATAATATATCCTGGATAACTCAATAACCCTTAATTTAAACTGATTTTAAAATTTTGATTTGAGCCTTTATTTATGGATTATTGCCAATAACTCTAGCATTCTTTAACAAGCTAATTTCTTGGTCCCTTTTAAGGTTTGAGTTTACTGTAATATGTTATGTTATTTGTTAATTTTGTGATGTTATTGTTGTGTTGTTTTGTGTTAATAGATTAAAACTGACTACATATAATATAATCATTCACTAAAAGCTAAAGATTCAGTTTTCAAATAAAAACAAAGGTATATCTTATTTTGATCATTGATTTTTAGCCTTGCTTTTTTAAAAAGAGTTGTTAATCCAAACTTGCAACAATAAATCTTGAAACTTTCACAAAAGATAAACAACCTTACAAAGTAAGTTTCTTATTTGTTTAGTCACAATTTTGAGTTTTCAAATAAATAAATAATAAATGTATCTTAAGTGTATTCAATAATAATTTTGTTCCATTTTTAGGTCAAATTCCTTCTCCTATGACTGATTTTGAACGTTCCTACATAGCAGAATTTAAGAAATCTTCTGAATGTTGATTGTATTCAAAAAGCTAAAACGAAGCTTGATAATCTTCATTCTATTTTCTGAAAGATATATAATAATAAAAGAATTAAATTGTTTTTATAAGTATTTTTGATACTTTTTTATGTTGAGTTTTTTTTTTTAAGTTTATTTTTTTATTTTATCACAAGAAAATTTTTTTGTTTGTTTCCCTAATAAATTTCTAAATTTTTTATCTTTGGAATTATTGTTTTGAATGGATATATTGGCTATTTTTGCTTTATTTTTTATATTTCCATTACCTTTTTATATTTGAATGGAAACCATTTATACTTTTATCACCTTTTGTACGATCAAGATGGTTTTTATTTGCATTAAGTATCGATTGCACAAACAACAGTTTTAAAAATTTATTTACTTAATTCCGCAGCAAAAAACATCTTGATTGTATGAATTTGTAATGAATGTTTTTTTACAGCATCAATTTGCTTTTCAAATAAATTCTTATAAGAGTTGAAATATTATCATAAGCCTAAGTTTCCAAAAACACCTGAAGAATGTTATGCAACTGTCTTATATGCTAAAGATACTTTTATTATGTAAAAAATAAGAAAGTAAATAATGTAATAAGTAAAAATACTAAATAGTTCTGAAGTATATTAAATTAAAAATTAACCAGAAGGCAAGAACTTTAGGTAGTCAGTAAAAATGTAAACTAAGTAATTATTAGCAAACCAAGACATTTTAATGAGCACAACAGTCATGATATTTATAAAATACTTGCTTATCTATTTTTTAAAAAAAATATGATGTTCTATACATTTTATTTAAATTAGATTGTTTTATTTTTATTCGGGAATATGTAAATTGATATTTTTGTTGTAGTAGAGTGATAGTTCGACTTGCAAAGAGGTACACAGCATTTTAAAGGCATTTTAATTATTAAAATATCTTACCATTAGTTTGACCTTACAACGTTAACGTCTTGAAGTTACGCTATCTAATTTATAAACCAATCAAATTTCAAAGATTTATTAAAAAAGCGCAAACGCAAACTTTTGTCTTATTGTTAAAAGATGAAAATGTAAACACAGCATTAGAAATCGGCCTCCAGCTAAACAACTTTGTTGCTCGATGTCATGGCCTGTTATTATAGAGGGCCATGGTTGAATCACTAATACAATAAAATGTATTGTTAAAAAATGTTACATTCATTAAAAGTTCTTTTAATTGCTACTTATTCTTCTTATTCTTTATATACCTCTTGAACAATAACTAACTACACAGTTTTATGCTGTATACTAGATGATTAATATCTTTTATAGGCACCTAATTCCCACAGCCTAACGAAATTGGAATGAACAGAATCTGATGCTTGTTTACTATAAAAGCCAAGTCCTTTTGAAAAATCTTTCAAAAGTTCTTGGTCTCACTTAGTGAAAAGAAGAAGCCTTACAGGACCTATCACATTTGCTAATTGGATCATAACATGCTACTTTATAAATAATACATGGATATGTGTTTGATCTTGTTTGTATTGTAACTATATTTTTTGAAAAATAAAAAGGTCCATTGAGCCTGGTATTTTTTCTCCCTTATCAATTTTTAAATAGTTTCCACACCTGCCACAGATACCTGAAGGTAAGTGATGGTCTTTTGGATTATAATTCTTTTGGATCACAATGAAGTATTTCCAATCCTTGGGAGTGTGGAATCAGTGCTACATGGAAACATGGTTAAACCTTTTTTGAAAGCAAACTAAAAATACTTTGGTCCATTTTTCATTATGAGAAAAAAAATGTTTGGTATTTTGAAAACCAAATTTGCTTAATTAATTCATCCTCTTTTAATAAAGAGAAAAAAAGTTCTGTGTATGAATAAAAATGTATATGAATAAAAATGTTGTGGTTGTATTTTGGCAGAAAAAATTAGTTTCTAAAATAATAAATGTTTAATGTCATTGATTGTCATTGAAGATATCTACAAAATCTTATTTTGATAACTAGAAACAAAACAATTTTATTTTTTAACTTTGAAAAATTTAATATTTTTGATAAAAATTAGTAAAACTGTCATAATTTCTTTGGACGCCCTATATAAATTTTAAATATTTGTTTAAAACACCTCTATAAAAAGTTTCTATTGAGCTTTTTTCAAGCCCTAAAGACATTTAAAAGCCTATGAGTGGGTTTGTTAAAAATTTGAAAATAAATTTAATAAGGTAGCATTAAAAATATTTTCTTATATAAACAATTTATAAGAACCCTTTACTTTTTTTACTCAGTTTTCTTTAAATTTGTCCTACATGTTTAATAATTTAATAGTTTTGTTCTACAGGACAATATAGATTTAATAACTATTAATAGATATATATTTTTTCATTTGGATTTAGCCAAAAACAAAATCTTTCTGATAAATTTAAGATTAATTTTGTAAACAAACAGTTTGATAACTTGTGTATAACAAAAATACATAGCAAATTACAGTTTCTTGATGTTAAAAATGGTTCAGTTTGAAATAAATAAGAAATTAGATAAATTAAACTGATGAGAAATTTTACTCAGGTTTTAAAAATAAATTTTTTTGTTAACATCAATACCTGGACACCATTATAATTATAGCTTTCGCCAGGACGGGTAAGTTCACAATTACCTCCTCCTTCTGATGCTAAATCAACAATAACAGATCCTTTTTTCATGCTATCGACCATTTCTTTAGTAATTAACTTAGGTGACTTTTTTCCTGGAATTGCAGCAGTAGTTATGATTATATCAACTTCCTTGGCTTGCTTTGCAAATAGTTCCATTTCTGCTTTGATAAATTCGGGTGACATTTCCTTTGCATATCCACCAACACCTAAATATTTACACAACACTTCATTAAACTATATCCAAAATGGAAATGTTGCTACTAAACAGAGCCACCAAACTGTGGTAATTATGATTTGTGACAACTTAAAAAGAATATAATAATACAAAAATAAGTCTAAACAATAAATTTACTCAACAGTGACAATATAAAAGTTTATTGGCAACACAGATTGTTTAATTTTGCTTTTGATGTTTGTCTAGATGAGATACTTGAGATTTATTGGTTCCTTCAAGAGAGCTTCGAGAAAGTTCCTTAGTTTTTATCAGTGAAGAGGACACCAACAATTTTATCTAGATAGTGTTCAAATATGGTATTTAAATGGTTGATTTATGTTGATAATAGCCCTGTTTATTTCGTATCTAACAGGCATGAATTAATAACATTTTTGTAAAATTTTATCTATGACATTTTTTTAATTATCAGTTATTTTGCACATTTTGTAAAATTATTTTGAAATAAAAATTAACTTAACTCAATTTTTAAAGAAATAATATGAGAAAATTAAATTAACTAGTGCATCAAGTTTTTGTATGTGTAATCTATGTATCAATATTCTGAAAATATGCTAGCATATTTTCCAAAAAAAAATTTTTGAATTTTTTTTTGAAAATATGCTAACAAACACATTCAACAGAAACAAAGTTCTGATTTGACAATTATTGGACAAACAGTCATGAGATGTAATAAGTTTTATTTCTTGCAATATTTTCCACATCTCTCCTTTTTTTATCTTTTTTTTTTTAATTTTTTGCCAAAGCTTTTCTTTCAATGATATATTGAACCCAGCATTTAATTTAGGAAGTAGTGATTACACTAAAGGTGCATCTACTTCTATAACTTCTTCTAAATCTACATCATTCCCTTGATGATCTTTATTGCTAGAGACATATTTTATTTTCTAGAAAACGTTCAATAACTCAACAACTTTTTTAATTAAGGCAGTTTTACTGGTTTTGTTAAATATTGCATATTAGTAAGATTTACTGCTATTACTATTCAAATTGTTCAGGTCATAAAGAAAGTTAAAAACAAGCAACATTCCTTTATTTGTAATTCTAATTCATCTTCAAGTTCTTTGCTTAATAGGGTGCTTAAAATGTAAGTTTGAAATAAAACTTTAAAAGCTTCTTTCATAATTCTCCTTCTTTATTTTTGTGGAGTACTTTATTATTTTTTATTGGTGATAGACTGAATCTTTTTTAACAGCGAAAGTCTGTCTAACAATTGTATCAACATTTGTTTAGATAATAGCTTTAAACTGCCAACATCACCATCTTTATTATCTAAAAATATTCTGGTTCTGGACTAGTTCATTTTCCTTTCACTTTTCTAACGAATAATTATTTTTATCATAAAGCACTTTAAAAATTGTTAATTGAATAAATTAACAATAAATAATATCATTTTCAAAAAAAGTTCCTAGCACTTTAAAATTGACATTTTTTTACATAGTAAAACTTATTTAAGTAGCATGACCTGTTTGCAACATCAGCATAGATGTTCTCCTGTATTTTGGATTTTCTGACACTAAACGATTTGGAAAATTATGATTTATCTTTAAGTTCATGATGGTTTTAATTCTTATGCTAAATATAAAACTTAAAAAAAGGAGAATTAAACTCCTTTTTCAAGTTTTATATTTATACTACTGAAAAATGTTTTTTTAGCAAACAAAAAAAACTCTAACTATTCTGCTTTAACCATTTTGATACAATGGTCTAACCATAAAACATAAAAACCTCGTTTTTATGTTTTATGGTTAGACTTTTGTATCAAATTTTTTTAGCTGACCTGATAAAAACCCTCTAAAAATTTGTGGAGGGCAAAATATTGCCTTCATTTTTCCTAATTCCAAGAGTTATATATATACACAAAAAAAAGTAATAAACTAACCATCTCCAGATTCTTTAATTTTAACTTCTAAAAACTCAGCTCCTAATGATCGTACTTGTTCACGAACTGCCTCTCTTGTATCAAAACCTCGTACAATAGCACCAAGATTTTTAGCAGTTTGAATTGCTGACAAACCTGCAACTCCACCTCCAATAACAAGCACCTTACAAGGTGGAACTTTACCTGCAGCTGTAATTTGACCTGCAAAAAATCTCCCAAATTCATTTGATGCCATAAGCACAGCTTTATAGCCAGAAATGTTTGCCATAGAACTTAGTGCATCAAAAACTTGAGCACGAGAAATACGTGGAACACAGTCCATAGCTAACACAGTAAGTTTTTGTTGGCCTAACTTCTCTAATAATTCTTTGTTTATACCAGGATATATAAAACTGTATAGATTTGTTCCTGGCTTCATTAGTTCACTTTCATGAAGTCCAAGTGCTGCATTAGTTGTAGGTGGGCGAACCTAAAAAACCAAAAAGATAAAATTTAGAATGCTATTTGAGATTTAGTTATCAATTTAGTTTATCAATTTGAGAAATAAAGATTTAATAATAATAAAGTTTGAACAACAATAGAAAAATACAAAATTAATTAACTATTAACTATAAAACCTTTAAAACAATGTTTGAAGCAAATGCTTCTTTTGTTGAAACAATTTTAGCACCAACACTTTCATAATCTTTATCAAGAAACATAGCAGATTCACCAGCTCCTTTTTCAACTACAACATTGAATCCTTTATTTATAAGAACAGAGCATGCTTGAGGCGTTAATGCAACTCTTCTTTCACCTGTGTGTATTTCTTTTGGCACTCCAACAGTCAGTTGATTATATGGTACACCAGATACTGTTCCTAAAATTTTATATAAATTTTCTTAAAAATTTTACAATAATATTTAATATTTAGTTTTTTATGATAACTATTTAACATAAAGATGAAAATAATTAGTTAAAATGTCTAATTTTTACAATTAATATTTCAAAAATTAATTTCATAATTCATAAATCAATAGTTTAATGTTTATACTAATATATATTTACTTATAATTTATAAGTTATAAAATATAAATCATTTAATCTTATTTTAATATATAAAACAATATTTTAAGTGAATAAGAACTAAAAACCAATTCTGTGTGTGTGTATGAAGCACTAGCATTTCAAAGTTATTTAATCCAAACTTAATTACTTAAAAACTTTGATATTTTCTAATGTCTACTAATAAGTGAATAAAACAAACTAAAAAAAGTTATATTAAAAAAAATTTGAACCCGCACCCAATATCAAGATGACAGCCACATCTTAAGTACCACACTTAGGAATGATAGAGTGCTTCCCTAACACAGTGGGAAAATATCACTAAATTTAAGATTTAAACTTTTTTTTGTATGATATTTCTACTGTGAGCTTATTAATTGTATGCGTGTAAGAATAATTAATATATTAAGTTAAATGCTTTTAAACTAAAAAATATTTTTATAGTTTTAACTTTTCATGTTTATCATTCATTCATTTTCTCATTAAGATTTCTTCTGTTTTTCAATTTTTTTTTAATTTTCTATTTACTTAAGTTTAGTTTTTGAAACGCACAAATTGTCAAAACAAACAAAAGCTGAGGTCAAGATGTCAACAAAAAATACTATGAGCGATCAGACAAGGTGTGTGACTATATACCTAACTTGCTAAAGACTGTATCTTTTTAACTCTAAGTGGTCAATATCATACATAAAGTTTATTTCAAAATTTTTTATTTATAAGTGTTAGTATAAATTGAAAACATTAAATCTTAGAATTTAATTGATAACTGTTTCTCTGCGCAACTCGCTTCTCTGCGCAGCAGCCTTGCTCATCAACGCTTGAGGAGGCAAATTAAAAAAAAAAAAAAAAAAAAAAAAAAAAAAAACGAATACATATATTTCACCTTTTTTTTCTGTTGTCAGAAAACGCAATGTGTTGATGGAACTTCGACAATTTAACTCCTAAGTAAAAAATAAAATAACTATTTTGATAACAACAAATTTTTAACATAAAAAAGTTTATTTAAAATTATTTATTCTTGCTGATTTTTCTCTTTGCTGGTTTACCAAGATTTAGTTTTTTGGAGTTATAGGGTTGAGAAAGGAACAATAGGGATATCAACTCTTCTTAAGCTTGTAATTAAAACCATGCTTGTCTCTTAAGTTTAAAATCTTGTTTATCTCAAGAACTTGAAAGGAAAAAATGACAACTTGATTTTATATAAAATATTTTGGTTAAAGAAAAAACTTGATAAATTAAAAAAACTCTAATACAAACTTTTAACTTATGCCAATACAGGCCTTGTTTTAAAGCATAAACTGGTGCGCTATTTATGTACGCGCTAAACCATTTTACATGAACGGTAAGCCATTTCACATAAGCCATTTCTTAATATTAAGTAATATAAGTCTAAAAAAATCATTCGGAAGAAGTAATTAACGTTATAAAAACCATTTATGAAGTTTGAATGATGATTACGTAAAAAAGTTTGCATGACACTTACATTTGATATTCGTGCTATTTACAAATATAATAACTTGGGAAAAAACAAAGAAAACTTTATTTTTATTAACTTAACTTTTCAATCAAATATGTTCAGTAAAATAAAAAATAAAAAGATGTTAAAGTCGTGTAAAAAAATGATTGATTTTATTAAAAAAATGAAAAACACTAATTATTACAAACTTTAAATACCATCTTATAAATATTTTATTTTTTTTATAATTAAAAAAAACTTCATTTACGGATATAAATCTATTATTATTTTTTTTGCTTAAATTTACGCTTGAAGCAATATAGCTCTTGCAATATCTTTGTTTATATTTAACAAAACAGGACCAAGGATAGAACCTTGAGGCAGGCCCGTCTCTACACATGTCCGGCCTAGGCAGCAGCTGCGGGGCCAAGGCATTTAGAGAGGCTAGCAAGGAAACAAATTTTTTTAAATAAATTTTAATAATAAAAATAAAAGTGCAATAGAGCACTTTTAATTTTTTAAAACGTTTTTGATTTACTAAAACAACCATAACTCCTACATAAATATTTTTTAAATTTTTTTATGGCAAGATTACCCACCAATTGAATTAGAAAAAAGTTCTCTTTTCGCAATTATTTTATACATTATAGTTTTCGAGTTTAATGTATTTCGAAGATAAGAAAAGTTTACGAGATCAAGCAAATAAAAATATATAAATACATGGCTGGGCAAGAAAAAGACAAATTCAGTCTTACAACTAAGTCCTTTAAAATAAAAGTGTCAAATTAAATTTGTAAATATAAAACAAGTTGAACAAAGTTCCATCAAAAATCTTTTGCATTTGTATTTATTCATTTGGATATATTACACTGTAATATTGCTTAAAATATGCCTTTTTCATTTTATTATTTAACTATTTATTTATTTTATGTTTCTTTCATTTTAATACTTTAAATTTTTTCTTTAATATATGTTGGCGAAAGAAAATTTGTTTGTGGCATTGTACATGCCTGGGATAAAACTATGTGACAGATCTAGAATGGACATACCCTATCCCCCTACATCTGTCACTGCTCTGTTGAGCCCGTAAACGGAAACATGACAAATTGATGTCTATTGAGGTACCAGACTTTATTAGGAAGGGAAAAATGGTTTCTGAGGTTATAATTTCAGATAACCATGGATCAACTTGTAACTGAGATTGAAAGGTGAAGACAAGCTTATGCTTCTCTTCCTTTGGATTCTTTTTCTGCCTTTTAGATATGGATTCTGTTGTGATCACAGTGTGCGCTAAAGAACTTTTTAGGATTTACCTAAATAATGTGGACATTTATATTCTAAATAAAAAAAACTGCATTACAAGAACTTTGTTCCTAATTTAGTTGAAACTAATATTAGTAAATCCAAAAAAAAAAAATCATCTCAATTTACTTCTGGTTATTTAATCCAAGAAACTTGAATCCAGTCTCAAACGTCAATGTTGTCCTAAGGATGTTTTTCTCTGCTGCTGTTACAAATTGTAACGGCAAAAAGTCTTTTTTAAATGTTTTATTGCTTAGATTTAGTCCCATAAAATCATTACATTACGGAAGAGTTCTAGAGGACGAAATAATATTGCCTGCTACTTTCGAGTCCTTAATCCAAGGGGGGATGGGAATAAAAGGGTGGGTGGGAATTTTAGTCTGAAACTTTCAATATTCACCAGTTACTCAAATGTTTTTTTACTTAAATTTTTTTTTAGTTTTGAAAAATAATTTTATATATATATATATATATATATATATATATATATATATATATATATATATATATATATATATATATATATATATATATATATATGTACATATATATATTTATATGAATATGTGTCCTGTGGTGACCTTACACGCAGTGCTTGTTCATCTGCGAGTTACTTTATATGCATGTTTGTGTTTAGTAGCCAGAAACTTCTTGTATGTTTATTTCATAATTAGTTTTATAAACTTTGATGATTATTACTGAAAATGCAATTGTTGTTGAAAGTCTTATAATTATGCTTACAAAATAAATCATAAAAACTGCTTTAAAATATTACATTAGAATATAAACAGAAACACAAAATTACATTTACATAAAAAATACATAATTTTTTAATAAAAAATAAGAATATACTAATAAAATCTATAATTTATAATAAACTTTAGAAATTTTGACAATTTAAAAAATATATATTATAAATATTTATTTTTGTAAACAAATAATAATAGCTAAAAAGATTTAAGGCTTTGTGGCTCCAAGAATGAGCCATAGTATTAAAACAATAGTTCATTTGATAATATATTCTTAAAACAATTTATGCTAGAAATCTCAAAACTTAACAAATCTTGAATGATACAATTTTTAAAACATTTTAACAGAATATTCTAGAACTTTATTTCGCTTAGTCAGTGTATTTTTTGAACCAATAGATTTAATTTGTTCGTAAATTTGGCGGGTTTTTAGTGTTAGCTTTTTATTCTTTGGCACCAAGATGTTTTGAGAACATTCAATTTTATGTATGTTTCCATGTATGTCCATAAAACAAATTTTTTTTGTTTAACGGAAATACATAAACTTAAATGTTCTCAAAACGACTAAAAAACCTGGCCAGTTTTTAGCAGCTAAATATAATTTCTGTGGTCAGTATTCGAGAGCGCTTCCGCTTCCCAACCAAGTCTGCAGATCCAGTTGTTTCTTAAGTTTAAATAATCAATGTAGAGGCAGACCCAATGTAAAGAATTGCATTTAAAATTTTGTACCATTATATTGAATATCTTTAAATAAATTTTATACTAATAAATTTAAACTGATTAAATTATTACATTAAAAAAATACATATACTTACATGAGCATTGCTTTTTAATTGAAGACTTCGAGGCAATAAACCTACATTAATAAAAATCAAAAAGATAAATGTTTTAAATAAATAATTTAGTAATAAAAATAACTAATAAATTTTTAAATATTAAAAGCATTACGGTTAATTCCTGATAACTCAAACCTCCAGGGGGACCAAGGAAAATGGTTTGACTTAAACAAAGTCCTATTAAGTCAAGCTTTGACAGAAATGAGATATAGGTTAGAATAAAGGCGATTTTTATTTATTCCATGCTAAAGTATAAACATTAAATATACACTATTATAGTAATAAAAAGTGTGAAAAAAGTTCAGAGAAACTTTTTTCACACTTTTTAAAAAGTTACGTATATCCACTTGTATTAGCTTTTCTGATAATTCTTTTTTCACAATTAAGTTAATTGGTTTATACATTTATGAATACACTCCCCGTTGTCACTGAACATCATGTAGCTTCATTGTAATTCCAGGGCTTGACATACATCACCTGATTGAAGGCAAGTTGGTTCGATCAAAAAACCTACATCACTATCTTTATCTTTTTCAGCCTCAAAATTTTCTTCTCCTAAAACGTCTGTTATAATCTCCTCATCATTCATTATTAGCTCGACAATGTGGACAAAATCATCAATGGATACAACATCTTTTGCTGTTGTTCTTTCAGGGAAGAACTCGGATGTATAAACAGTAAGCTTTTCTAACTGGTTTTTGAGATCCTCAAAGGGATTATTGACATCTACAGGCTTGGTTAGGAAGCGGGAGCGATCGCTCTTGATTGCTGACCATGGAAATAATATTTAGTTGCCAAAAGCCGGACAGATTTTTTAGTAGTTTTAAGAACATTTCAAAAATCAATAAAAAAAAATAAAAAAAAAACAAAAAAAATGCGCATAACAGGCCTTGCGATGAATAAAAACTGCGCGACGCATAAGCACGACGTGATTTTTGACGTCATTAATTTCTTTTTATTTGCTTTTCATATTTATCGACATTAACTGCACCAATTTACTTAATTACCGCAAAACTACTTTAAATCATTAATGTAGAAATGTTATTATTTAAAAATGTTTTGGAATGTTTCGTTTTTTAAAATTCTCGACGTTTGACACGTTTTGTCTATACTAAACGAATAAAAAACATAAGTTTTTCAAATTTTCAAATACTTTTTCTTTTTAAAAAATTTCAATTATTTTTTCTTTTTAAAAAGTCAGAGAGTAATAAACTAGTAATTTTAATATTGTACAATTAAAAACTGTCCAATAGCTAATACTTTTACTAGCGATTTTATATAATATTTATTTATTTTTATTTATTTTCATAAAGCAGTTGATAAGCACAATCACTCGTATTATTAAAAAACTTTAACGAACGTTTTGAATGGATTTTTAATGTTTACAAGGAATTTTATTTTTGGTAAAATAAAATAAAATGTTAGAATAAAAATCTTTTAGGTATAAAAGAAATATTTTAGCGAAAAAATTATTCTTAAAAATTATTCGAAAAACTATTGACGTTCTATTTTTCAGCAGCTATTCTTGAGCATGCTTCGTTGAGTTTCGGTAAAAAGCGATTGTTATTATTCAAGTAATTTTTTTCGAGTTACTTTTTACAAAAATTTTAATGACTGTACTTTTTTATTGAATCAAGTAGAATACGTTTTAATATTAATCCTTTCATTTTTTTTTATTTGCGCTTACCAATTTTTAAAATGTTTCCTTGAAATTACTCTTAAATACTTTAAATTCGTCTAACAGTTAATAAATATTTTTAAATCTATGAAATAATTTTAAAACCTAACAAACCCCCGTAAAATAATTATTTAAGTTAAAAAATCTAAAATTAAAAGAAAGTATTTTTGTTCAATTTTATCGACAACTTTGCTACTGCTGATTGATTTTATTAAAATGCTAGCTTAAAAAGATTTAAACTTTTTTTTAATCTGAATTTTTTCTACTTGTAAATAATGAGCATATTTAATTTTTTTGTAATTTAAACTTTTATATCAACAGCCTGCGGTTTTTAAAATACTTTATTAAATGTTAAAATAATCGTCAATTACTTCATTAAAATTCCGCTCAAAAATATCTTTAAATATACTCAAACAAAAATTTTTTTGCTCGATGCAAATAGCCCTAGCTACATGCAAAATCGCTCTTGGACGACATAAAATTCACATCGCCCGACGCTTTATCGCAAGGCCTGGCATAAGATAATTGGACCGATCAGAGATAATTACAAAAAAAAAAATAAACAATAAAATAAAAATTAGGAAAATAAAATATCTTTTAACAAATAAAAATAAATTATGTTTAGAACAAATATTTTCGAAACATCGCTCTTTTATAATTTTTTTATAAAATTAAGCAACGTTTTTTATATAAAGTAACATCTTACGATTGTTTAAAAAGGAAACAAATGTTCTTTATTTAACAAAGTTTGCAAGTTTCAGTTTTATTTCAGCTAAATTATTTTAAAAATAAAAAAGTTAATTTTTTTAATACCTATTATGTTTCATGTAGTTTAAAAAGTTTAACATATTTGAATTAATTCTTCTTAGTAAGATAAACAAATGAAATAATTAAATCATTGAATTACTATAAAAATTAAATTAACTAGATAAAAATCAATTAAAAAGGTTAAAAATTTACAATATCGCTGATGATGTTTAGTGAGTGGGCTTTTTTATTTTAATTAGTATTTAAAGCATAAAAAAGTATAATGAGTTTTAAGAACGGCAACTTAAGCAAAAATAATTAGAGTTAGTAAACCAATATCTAGAAACTTTTCTTTAAATCTAATAACTTGCTATATATATTTGTGTTCTGTCGTAACCTCAGGCGCGGTTCTTGTTCATCCACGAGTTACTTTGAATGCATTGTTTGTGTTTAGTAACCCAGAAACTTCTTATATGTTTGTTACATAATTAGTTTTATTAATTTTTATGATTATCAATGACTTCATTGAAAACGCAATAACTTTTGTAAGTCTTTGTTTACAAATTAAATCATAAAAATTGCTTTAAAAGATTATATTACAATAAAAAACAGATACACAAAATTAGATTTATGTAAAAAATACATACTTTTTAATTAAAAAATAAGAATATGCTAATAAAATCTATAATTTATAATAAAAATTCAAGATTTTGACAATTTAAATAATATAAATTTAAAATATTCATTTTTGTAAACAAATAATAATAGTTTATAAGATTTACGGCTTTGCAGATGTGGCTCGGGATGTACCCGTTAATTTTTTGTCCCCGCAAGCATAATTTTTTTTGAAAAAAAATGTACCTGTAAGAAACTTTTATAGAGAACAAAAAGTACATACATTGACTGACAAATAGCCTGACTCGCAAGGGAGTGCTGCTACATCAACTGAGGGTTTGGTTTGGTTCGGCTTAGGGTTAGGGTTACGGCAAGGTTTAAATTTGGTTATATTATTGTAATTAATCGTTTTTTTAAATAGATGAAGTTAAAAATGAAATATAATATAAAATAAATAAATAAAAATGTGGCTCCGAGAATGAGCCATAACATTGATAATATATTCTTAAAACAACTTATGCTAGAAATCTTAAAACGTAACAAATCACGAATAATACAATTTCTAAAACATTTTAACAGAATACTCTAGAACTTTATTTTGCTTAGTCAGTGTATTTATTGAACCAATAGAATTAGTTTGTTCATTAATTTGGGTTTCTTCGTGAATAATCTTTTTATTCTTCCGCATCAAGATTTGATGCGGAAAACTTGAATGTTTTGAGAACATTCAAGACATTCAAAAAACATAATTAAACTTGAATGCTTTGAGAACATTCAAGTTTATTATATTTTCATGTATGTCTGAAAAACAGCCGTGGCGCAGTGGTAGCGCACTTGCCTCAGAAACGTAAGATCCGTGGTTCAAACCCCACCTCTGAGCAAGTTTTGCGACATCGGTTGGGAAAGAGGCGTGAACTTCCTATTAAATGCTCTTCCGCGGTGCTCTGTGATAAGACCTTAAGGACTTCTTGGGGCACCTAAATCAACATAAAAAAAAAAAAAAAAAAAAAAAAGTTTATGTAGGCTTTGTTATGTACATAAACTTAAATGTTCTCAAAACGAATAAAAACCTGGCCAGTTTTTTGCAACTAAATATAATTACCGTGGTCAGTGTTCGAGAGCATTCCCGACCAAGCCTGCATCTACCTAGGCATCAAAACACATTTTCTTTGAAATTTCAGCTTTAGCAAAACAATTGCAAATAGTTTCAGTCTTCACCTTCCCCAAGTAACATCAAGCATTTACATGACATCCATTATAGTAAATTCTGGAAGAGTCTTTTTTTTTATCTATTGTATTTATTAATTTTTGAACAGATAGTGTTCTATAATGGGCTTTAAGTGACCTAATCACAACCTGGTCCATTGGCTGAAGCTTCAAGGTTGTGTTTGGTGGTAAAAAGATTAGTTCTATTGATTGGAGATTATCAATGATTGTATGAGCTGGACAATTATCAACTAATAAAACAATTTTTAATCCTTCCTTCATAAATTACAAATCAATTTCCTGAACCAGGCTTGGTTAGGAAGCGGGAGCGATCGCTCTCGAATACTGACCACGGAAATTAAATCTAGTTGCGAAAAACTGGCCAGGTTTTTTAGTCGTTTTAAGAATATTTAAGTTTATGTACAAAACAAAAAATTTTTGTTTTAAGGATATACATAAACTTGAATGTTCTTAAAACATCTTATATAGCAAATAATTAGATATAAAGAAAAGTTTCTAGATATTGGTTTACTAACTCTAATTATTTTCGCCTAAGTTGCCATTCTTAAAACTCGTTATACATTTTTCTGCTTTAAATACTAATTAAAATTAAAAAGCCCACTCACTGAACATCATTAGCGATATTAGAAGCAGTTTCGCTTCCTCATTATAAAGTATTTTTAATCTTTTTAGTTGATTTCTATCTTGTTAATTTAATTTCTATAGTAATTCAATGATTTAATCATTTTATTTGTTTATCTTACTTAGAAGAATTGCTTCAAATATGTTAAACTTTTCAAACTACGCAAAACATAAATTAGGTATTAAAAAAATTAACTTTTTTATTTATAAAATAATTAAGCTTAAATAAAACTAAAACTTGTTAACTTTGTTAAATAAAGAATATTTGTTTCCTTTCAAAACAATCTTAAGATGTTACTTTATATAAAAAAAATAGCTTAATTTATTAAAAAAATATATAAAAGAGCGATATTTCAAAAATATTTGTTCTAAACGTAATTTAGCTTTAAGTTTTTTCGCGTTTAAAGATATTTTATTTGCCTAATTTTTTTTTGTGTAATTGTCTCTCTTCGGTTCAATTAATCATTTGCGCTTTTTTTCTTGCTTTTTAAAATGTTCTCAAAACAACTAAAAAATCTAGCCAGCTTTTCGCAACTAAATATTATTTACATGGTCAGCAATCGAGAGCGATCGCTCCCGCTTCCCGACCAAGCCTGCTGAACCCATTCTTTGAATAGTGTGCCATCCATCCAACTTTACTTCTGACTGGGATAATGGTAGGGCAAATGCTTTACATTATTAAAGCATCTGGGTGATTTAGCTTTGCCAATAACAAACATTGGCAATTTTTTCCCTAATGCATTAGTGGATGCCGATCCTATAAGACTTAGTTTGCTGTGTTTCCCACTGACATATTTTTCACTTTTAAAATGTAAAGATTTATTTGGTTGGAGCCGATAAAACAAGCCAAATTTGTCAGCATTATAAATCTGGTTGAACTAATATTTTGATAAAAGGATTGATAATGTGGTTTCCTCCCATGGTGCTACTATTTCAATAGTACACGCATTCACCAGAAACTGTTTTAAATGATATGTTGTATCATTTCTTCTAACAGTCTAACCAACCATCTGAAGCATGAAAATTTGTAACATTCATTCTTTCAACAAATTCCATGGCTTTAGTTTTGAGAATTAAAGCAGAGACAGTGACATGTCTGCTACAAACAATCAGAAGTCATTTGAAAATGACTTGATCCAAATTTGCAAATTACCCTTTCCTCATACGCTGACAATTTGGGTTATTTCATTTTCTCCACTGCATCAAAAATCTTTTCCTTGCTTCTCAACCAGGTAGATAATGTGTTCTTTGGTATATTATATTATAAAGCGACCTTTGACTTTGAGATGCCATCTAATATTTCCTCCAGTGTTGTTGTATTTGATTTTAACAGTTTTTGTATTCAACTTTCGTTTAGTTGCAATTGTCATCATGATACAAACTTTGAGTTTTAAAAGCAAGTATTCACGCTGTACACTTAAAATATAATTTTCAAAAAAGTTTAGCAAAAAAATGCAACACAGTGTCTTCCTTAAAGTATTTTATGTTTTATATGGAATGACTTCTTAAAAAAAAATTTTAATCAAGTTATTTTGATTTCATTATTTCCCATACAAAAAGTTCGAGTTATCTAAAGAAAATTGGCGAAAGGGGGCAATGAAATGGTTCGACCTGATGAAGTTCGAGTTAACTGATGTTGGACTTAACCAGAGAATTTTAATAGTAATCAGTTAGATAATTTCAAGGGACCAAATGAAAAAGTTAACTCGAACAAAAGTTCGAGTTAACCGGTGTTCGACTTACTAGGAGTTAACAGTATCAAAAATTTTTTTTTTAATTAAAACAACAGAAAAACTTTTACTTGCAAAAAGAATACTAAACTATAGTGTGTAAAAAATGTTGTAGTTATGTGTTACAAGTATTATGGTGTTTTAATAAGTTTTTTTTTACAAGAGATATTTACAAGACAATGTCTTTATTTATCTGCAATTATATTGATTACAGAACTTATGCTTTAACCAAATTTTTTTTTTGATAATAATCTTTAAAATGAATTTCTTATGAATTAAATTAAATTTAAATAATTTATAACATGTAATTGAAGTTATTTACCTTTCGATGAAAGAATATTGCATCTTCTTGAAAATAATGAACTAAGTTGAAGAAGACTCATTGGTATTTTTTTTAGTAAATATAACTAAAATCAGAAATATAAAAAAGTAGAGTAACATAATGTGAGCTCATATAGTTAGGCTAACTAACTAAAAGTGTTAAAAATTTGTTGATACACTAGGGCCTTAACTTTTTCTTTATCTTATAATTCTGTATAGCTGAACTTATCTTCTAAATTAACAAAAAAAAAAAAAAAAAAGAAAAAAGAAAAAAAGAATTATCATTAACACACCCCATTTTTCCCTTGCTGGCTTTCGTATATGCAAAAAAATATTTCCAGGTTAAGTATACAAATTATTAAGTATTTCATTAACTCAAGCACGACAAAATAAATTACACAATTTATTCTTAACATTAAAAAAAGAAAAAGTGAAAATGCTGTCATTAAAAGTTATAACTTTTATTTCTGCAAAAAGTAAGAAATGCCAATTAAGTTTGTTATTTTGTGATATCAACTTGAACTAATAAAAACCCTTATGACCATTGAATGAATATACTGAGCAAATAACCAAGATAATAATTAAAGAACACACACACACACACAGATATATATATATATATATATATATATATCAAGGTCAGGTCAGGTTTTCCTGCTACTGGTAACATGTAACCCAGTACAATCTGCTCCATGTCCTGCTGCCTTGTAGGATACGCTTTTTTAGGCAAAGGCTAGGAGAAGTTAACTCCGAATTAAAACACCCCCTGCCTTGGGGCTCTTGGTTGAGTAAAGGCTAGAGATGGTGTCTCGATAAAAATACTCATCTTGGGCAGATGTTACATGCGTCCAGCTGCTGTCTTGTAGAAGGCCTCCTAGGCAAAGACTTAAGGGGCAAACAGATTCTATCTGTTGACCAGCCTCGCACATAACAGCCGTAACAGAGGCCACATTTGGAGCCCTTTGTTACAGCTTAGGGTTTATTAATAGTAATGAGGCTATTGCTTAGTTGTTAAATAGTGTACTGAGTACTATCTATACTTGAGTCAAGTTCTTTATAAATTTAAAATGACTAAAGTACCTAAAACTAAAAAACACAAAAAACCATCGTCATCACCAAGTTCTCTAAACCTATCATTTACTAATATTCGTGGTCTTCGAAGTAACTTTTCTTCTGTTGAGTCTTATCTCTTGCAAAGTTCACCAGACCTACTTGCGCTTTGTGAGACTAATTTGAGTTCGGCTGTCCCATCTTGTGATCTTAGTGTTGATGGTTATCTTCCTTTAATTCGTAAAGACTCCAATAATCACATGCTTGGCCTGGGCATCTACATTCGTAAGAACTCACCCATTTGTCGTGAAACTAGGTTTGAATCTACAGACTATTCATTTATGTGCTTTCGTTTAGCACAACTTCACTCTATCGCCTTTCTCTTTGTTCTATATCGCTCTCCTTCATCCCAAGATTGCACTATTCTTGATGTTATTTCTGATCAAATTGACCAAGCCCTCTCTCTTTATCCATCAGCCAATATCGTCGTTGTTGGTGACTTTAATGCCCATCACACCGATTGGCTTGGCTCTAGTGTCAGTGACTCTGCTGGCGTTAAGGCCCTCAACTTTTGCCTTTCTCAATCTCTAACTCAAATAGTCAACTTTCCAACTCGTTTTCCAGACAACCCTAATCATTTACCTTCTCTACTTGACTTATGTCTTGTTTTGGATCCTAGTCAGTGCTCAATTTCTCCACATTCACCCTTAGGTACTTCTGATCACGGTTTGATCTCTCTAAAACTATTATCAAATTCTTCTACTTCATCAGAATCCCCCTATCATCGTACCACATACAACTACCTTAAAGCTGACTGGGACTCTTTCCGTGATTTTCTTCGTGATGGCCCTTGGGTAGAAATCTTTCGCCTTCCTGCTGACAAATGTGCTTCTTACATAACTTCGTGGATTCAGGCTGGCATGGAATCTTTTATTCCCTCTCGACGATTCCAGGTCAAGCCTCACTCTTCTCCTTGGTTTTCCTCACATTGCGCTGCAGCAATTTCTAATCGAAACCGTTACTTCCATATCTATCAGCAAAACAATTCTCCAGAAAACAGACATCTGTTCACTATCGCCAGAAACCATTGTAAAAAGGTTTTGTCTGACGCCAAAGCTCGCTATTCCCAGGTCATTAAATCTCGTATCTCATCACAAAAATTAGGCTTTCGAGACTTCTGGAGAATCTTTAACAGTATCAATAATAAGGGAAAATCTGTTATTCCTTCTCTCTTGTATGGTTCAGACTTTGTCACCTCACCTAAAGACAAAGCTGAATTGTTTGCTAAGAACTTTTCATCAATATCATCTCTTGATTCCACTAGTTGCGTGTATTCTTATGGTGTAGCTGGTAACGTCTTTAAGATTATTGAGTCCTTTCTTTCCAATCGTAGTATAAAAATTGTCCTCGATGGACAACACTCTTCTTCACATCCTGTAACTTCAGGGGTTCCTCAAGGTTCAATCCTTGGCCCTATACTCTTTTTAATTTACATTAACGATCTTCCAGATATTCTCACATCTAAGGTGGCATTATTCGCTGACGACACTACCATTTACTCTTGTCATGATAAGAAGCCTACACTCTCTGATTGCTTGGAGGGGGTATCTGAGCTTGAAAAGGATCTCACTTCTGCTACAGCATGGGGCTCACAGTGGCTGGTTAACTTTAATTCAGATAAAACTCAATTTTATTCGGCCAATCGTTATTGTAATAATTTAGATCTTCCTATATTTATGAATGGTAATGTACTAGATGAGTCATCTACCATTCATCTTCTAGGATTAACTCTTACTTCTGATCTTTCTTTTAAACCGTATATCAAATCCATTGCAAAATTAGCATCTGCTAAGGTTGCATCTCTTTATCGAGCTCGACACTTTCTTACTCCAGATTCTATTCTCTATCTCTATAAATCTCAAATCCGTCCCTGTATGGAATACTGTTGCCACATCTGGGGCGGATCTTCTAATGATGCTCTTTCTCTTTTAGACAAGGTGCAAAAACAAATTGTAAACATAGTTGGACCTGCTCTGGCAGCCAATCTCCAACCTTTGTCACATCGTCGTAATGTTGCTTCTCTTTCTCTTTTCTACAAATACTAAAATGGGCACTGCTCTAAAGAGCTAGCGTCCCTTGTGCCATCTACTAAAATTCATTCTCGTGTTACTCGCCATTCAATTAAGTCTCATCCTTTTTCTGTGACTGTTCCTAAGTGCTTCAAAAACTCTTATTCTTCTAGTTTTTTTCCTCGAACATCAGTTCTTTGGAATTCGCTTCCTTTATCTTGCTTTCCTGATTCATATAATTTGCAATCTTTTAAGTCATCAGTCAATCGTTATCTTGCTCTACAGATTTAGTCTTTTCTCTTCCAGTAACTTCCAACTCTTATAGTGGTTGCTTGCAGCCTTGTTGGAAGTGAAGATGTTAAAAAAAAAAAAAAAAAAAAAAAAAATATATATATATATATATATATATATATATATATCAGGGGCTTTTCTAGACCGTTTTCGATAGCGTCTGTCATATTTGGGTGGTGCTATTTATTTTTATTATATAGTCAACGTATTTGAGCAACGTTATTAATATGATATTTATTATTTAATATAAACATTTTTTAACCAATTTTTTTAAAGAAAATTTTACTCTAACCTAATGTGAACTAAAATAGAGATTATCATTGAGATGGACAACAGAAATGCAAAAAAATACCACAATGTTAAAAAATTAAAAACATTAGTTACTTTTTTATTTATATTATATTTCTATAAAATGATTTTCACACTGCTGACAACTTATTAGATAATAAAAATAACTATGGTTTGATTTTAGAAAAAAGACACAAAACAATAAAATACAATCATTTTTTTCACAAAATTTATTATATGACCAAAAGGAAAGATAAAATACTCAAAAACTGAACTTATATATATATATACATTACTAAAAAAAACATGATAATAAATTATTCTATAAGTTCTTTTTAAAATATCTTCGATCACAAAGTTAATACTAGTTTTTTTCCATTCTTTTACCAGAAACAAAATTTTTAATTTTCTTCACACTTAAACTGAGATGCTAAACTGCAGAGATAGATCAAAATAATCATATAAAGGAATTTTCCATAAATTATCTAACGCAAAATTATACTTATAGACATAAGACAAAGGATCAAAAGTTTTCTCTCGCAAAGTCTTTAATTAAACCAAATACAAAAAGGGCAGGATTGAAAAGTCGTGTTTTTCAAAAGGAATAACCTTTGTAAACTAAATTGGAAATTAAAAAAAAATAAAAAAGTTTAGAAGGGGGCAAAAATACCTAACAAACTATCTATAAATATCTATTTAATTTTGAGAAAAGACATTGTTAATAGAATTCTAAACTTTTAGTTATAGGCATTAAAAAACTTGTGTCACAGAAAGAACGATAGGTTCCTTCCATGACACAAGTTTCAATGGCTATAACAAAAAAGTTATTATTCCACACAGAATATCTTTACCTGAAATTAAATAAGTCTTTATAGGTAGCATGTTAGGTGTTATTGCCCCCTTCTAAACTTTTTTATTTTTTTTTAATTTCTAATATAGTTTACAAAGGTCATTCCTTTTGAAAAAAAAATCCTGCCCTAAACATCTTTAAAGTCCCGCAAAAACTGCTGCGCAAAAGAGCAAAACATACTCCTACTTATATTTTTTGAAGTTTTGCGTTACATATTTTATGGAGGATCCGGAAGAAATTATATGCACACCTAAATGTACAAAATCTTTTATATGTACTTTTTTAAAAAAATGTCACACAACAATACAATAACAGATTGAAATTGCCCAATTTATAAACTAGAGATATTTTATTTTTACATTAAAATTTTTTAAAATTACAATACAAATTTTTGCTGTTTAAAAGTTTATTTAAATTAAAACTAAAAATAAATAAATAAAGTCACCTTTTATTTTGACTTTTATTTTGACAATTACATGTAAATATATTAAAAATTCCCCTCTTTTTTTGTTTTTTTAGTCATCTTAATATCTCAAATAACTGTGGCCAAGTTGTCTACACAGTTTATGCATGGATAAACAAGACATAAAACCGCTATCTCCAAAACTGCTTTATGATATCTTACAACTTTTTATTTTCTATTTTTCAAAAATGTTCTCAGCTTATAGACAAAGCTGAGGAGCTCTGAAATGAAGCAAACTGGTGAACTTTTAAAAGCTTTGGTACAAGGCAACTCTGCAAAGTATCTGCTGGAGCAAAATAAATCACATACACTGTATTGATATAAATATATGTCATGTTACCTTTATTGTGATAGTTTGTATGTAACAAACTGTACAGATAAAACAGTCATTTATATGAATGTTGTGATTATGTTAAATTATGCTGTGTTAAAAAATAAGTATATTTAGGATTTGGGTTTAACATAACTTTATTCATCTCAATTTATCATGCTGTTTGCTTGAGCAACTTTTGGAGAGAGTTTATAACTATAAACATAAAGATCAACTTTATAACTATAAATATAAAGATTTAAATCTGTATGTTTATAGTTGTAAAGTTATAACTTTAAACATACAGATTTAAAACTGTATGTTTAAAGTTATAAAATTAAAGTTGATTTAGTTAAACTAAATTAGGTAGCCTTACTGATTAATTTAAAATTTAACAGAGTTAAGTATTTCATGCTTCCTATTACAAATTTCAGCTTTGATCAGATAAGTAAAACCGTAAAAAGTTGTAAAAGATCATATGCTCACTTGATTAGCGTCGGAAATTATTGCTTGGTTTATATAGTTTAAATTTCTACTACTCTTTTTTACTTAACAATTTTTTAAGGAACGCTTACCTGTAATTGACTTAACTCGCCTGAATAAGTCAAATACTTTTATAAGATAAAACATGCAAAAAAGTCTAGTTAGATGCCATTATGCAAAAAGAACATAGCTTGATTGTTCAGCCTAAAATCCAAGTTGGTGCTATTTTTACTAGTATTATAATTATCACATTTATATATTACTTTAATTTTTGTAAATTCGAGTTTTTGTACCATTTGAAATAATATAATGCAAAGTGGTAATTCCCAATTTTAGAATTAGAGCAACGGAAATAAAGCAGAAAGCAATTGAAATAGGAAAAAGGCTAGAAAGCCGTTTCAAAAGTTAAATTCTTAAGCAGATTTTAGAACTTTGTCTTACTTGCTGGTTCAAACCACGTGACAGCTCATTCAGTTTTCTATGAATTGATTGGTCTCTTCTTTGGCAATCGTGCAAGCGCCAAAGCATTCACTCACCGAAGTTTCACGCACTACAAAAGATCGCCTTAGGACGTACTTTTAAAATTTACTTTTGCTAAAGAATTGAGAAAAGGTAAATAAAATGCCTAAAGCAAGAAAAGATCCTAACAAACCTAAAGGTGCGAAAACTTCCTTCATTATATTTGGAGAAAAAACGCGAGCAGATCGTTTAGAAAAAGGAGAAACAATCCCAACACAAACAGAATTTGCAAAGGAATTAGGCAATCTATGGAAAGAAATGAGTAAAGAAGAAAAAAAACCATACCTTGATCTAGCTGCTGAAGACAAAAAGCGTTTCCAAAAAGAAATGGAGGGATATAATCCTCCCAGTGACAGTGAATCAGACGACGAAGACAAAGAACCAAAGAAAAAAAAGAAAAGAGCAAAGAAAGATCCTAATGCCCCTAAAAGAAATGTGTATGTATTGTACTACTTTCTATTATATCTATCCAATTTTTTTCAACTTTTTATAAGAATAAATTTTGAATGTTTTTTATTTATTTGATAAATAATCTTATATTATTAATGTACATACTTTTATTATTTGTACAATATTGATTGTACATTTAATGTGGATTACTTTTCTTAGTAGTATAGGTTTTTAGGTATTAAGTATAGATGTTAAGTTGAAATTACTTTCATTTTTGTTCTTATTTTACAGGTCAGCTTATTTTCATTTTGCTTCTGCGATTAGGCCAAAATTAAAAGCTGATAATCCTACACTTGGTGTAACAGAACTTGCTAAGATGATCGGAGAGCGATGGCAAAAATTAACAGATTCAGACAAGAAGCCTTATGAAAATTTAGCTGCTAAAGATAGAGATAGGTATCAACGAGAACTCTCTGAATACAATTCATAAATAACGATTATTTTAATTTTGAGGTGTATATAGGACTATGCTTTGTTCTAGACCACTGTGGGTGAATATTGTGGATAAACTGTTACAATGTTCAATTTTATTACCTATTAGCAATGTTAATTGTTATTATATATCACTGTTGTCTATGTTTTATGTTTTTGAATGTAAAATACTGGGCAGCTTTTATAAAACTAAAAATTCAGAGAAATATTTTTTAAGTTCATGGAACTACAAATTTATGTAGTTCATTCTCCAATATTAATTATTTATCTTAGCTATAAATTCACTAGTCTCGTATATATATATATATATATATATATATATATATATATATATATATATATATATATATATATATATATATATATATATATATATATATATATATTGATGAGTTAATATAGAATTTTTCTTTTTCTCTTTAAAATAATATTAGTCGCAGTTTTGTTGTGGATTTATTATATTGTTTTATTGTGAAAACTGGAATCTTATATTTATTTATAAGTTTGTATATAAATGACCATCAAAATGTTTGAGTGGTTCTGTATCATTCGTGTTAGATAAATGAGAGATTTTAAATAACTTTAAAAGCTAGTTTTTGTTATATAAGTATTATATTGTTATATATAAGTTTTAGTTATATTATATTGTTATAACATTTTAAATATTTATAATTGAATTTAAATTTTATAGAAACAAGAACTAGGCAACTAAGTGTGTATGTGTGACTTTTTAGGCTGTTATCTCTAATAGTAGGTATCTGACATACATTTTTAATATAGTTACTAGATTATTATACATCATTAAAAAGAGCTTTGATACAGTATTTTAAATGTAAACTATGAAAATAATTTTACAAAATGTTAAAGTACCAAATTTTTGATATGTCCGTTTGTCAAAGAAACTAATCAAAATTTAGTTTTTTTAAACTTAATATATCCTAACTTTTTCTATTTTTATCCAATTGTGTATAACTTAGTATCAAAAGAATGGTCTTAAGGACAGTAAGTATGTATATATTTAAAGCTAAAATAGTTTAAAAAAGAATTTTTTTTTTTTAATTTATATTTTTATATACATTTTTTTATATTTTTTATATTATTTACTAAATCAAAATCAAACATGATTGAGATACTTGGAGTTGGTTGTGTGAACGAGTATTAACCTCTCCCCCACATGGGTAGATAGCGTTGTCAATGCTGACTATGTTATAGTTCTTTTACTACCTCGGCGAGCTTTTTTCTAATGAAATTTGGCAGGTAGTAAAGACAAAAATTTGAAGTTCAGAGAACTGCTAAAAGAAATAATATAGCATTTCTTTACTATAAACTTGATGTAATAAATACGAGAGATTTCCATATTAATAAGATCACTAAAATCAGTATTAATTTTTTTAGAAATGTATCTATTTCTACTAATTATAGCATGCTCATACCGTACCGTAATCTCAATGTTTGGCCAAAAATGTTTTCGTTAAAGTCCGGTTAACACATACCTACAGTAGGTGGTTATGTTTCCCAGGGACAAGTTTTATAAATTTAGAATACCTGAAAAGGTCGGGAATTTTTTCTGAAAATTTTAAAAATAGGGTAATTGTCTTTATTTATTCTGCGTTGTACGAATTTTTTTGTCTTCGTCATTATTAGATGTTGCTCAATGCAGTAGTTTGGTAACTTAAAATATATAGTAACTATACTTTTTAATCTTTCTGCTATAAGAAAGGACTTCAAAAGACTTCAAAATCAAAAAATTTCTACATCCCATCTTGAGTCAAATAACTTGTATCAGTCAATCAACACGGTTTTCGATCTCGCTGATATTGAACTGGATGGAGGCGGCGAGGCTAGTGCTATTATTTACTGCAAATTAGTATCGCGATACTGTTGACTTTCCTATATTGGTAAACGACAACCCTCTTGCTGATTTCCCTTCTATATGTCTTCTTGATTTGTCGTTTATTACCGACCTCTTATGGAACAAAAACTATAAAACACAGAAAACCAAGTTCGCTATATTCATCATTCGCATCATTCACTTATTCGTTTTCTTCAGTCGAGTCGTATCTTGCAAAATTCACCAGACCTACTTGCTCTTTATGAAACCAATTTGAGTTCAGCTGTCTCATCTTGTGATCTTAGTATTAATGGTTATCTTCCTTTATTTCGTAAAGACTTCAATAGTCACATGCTTGGCCTGGGCATTTAGATTTGTAAGAATTCACCCATTTGTCGGAAAACTAGGTTTGAATCCACAGACTACTCTTTTATGTGCTTTCGTTTAGCACCACTTCACTCTATGACCTTTCTCTTTGTTCTATATCGCTCTCCTTCATCTCAAGACTGCACTCTTCTTGATGTTATTTTGGATCATATTGACCAAGCCCTCTCTCTTTATTCATCAGCAAATATTGTTGTTGTCGGTCACTTTAATGTTCATCACACTGAATGGCTTGGTTCTAGTGTCAGTGACTCTGCAGGCATTAAAGCCTACAAATTTTGCCTTTCTAAAACTATAATCTCATTCTTCTTTATCATCAGAATCCCTCTATCATCGTACATCTTACAATTACCTTAAAACTGACTGGGACTCTTTCCGTGATTTTCTTCGTGATGGCCCTTGGGTAGAAATCTTTCGTCTTCCTATTGACAAATGTGCTTCTTACATAACTTCGTGGATTCAGGCTGGCATAGAATCATTTATTCCCTCTCGATGATTCCAGGTTAAGCTTCACTCTTGTCCATGGTTTTCCTCACATTGTGCTGCTGTAATTGCCAATCGAAACCATTACTTTCATATCTATCAGCAAAAAAATTCTCCAGAAAACAGACGTCTGTTTATTACTGCTAAGAACCATTTTAAAAAGATTTTGTCTAACGCCAAAGCCCGCTATTCTCAGATAATGAAATCTCGTATTTCATCACAAAAATTAGGCTCTTGCGAATTCTGAAGAATCTTTAACAGTATCAAAAATAAGGGCAAGTCTGTAATTCCACCTCTTTTGTATGGTTCAGACTTTGTCACCTCACCTAAAGACGAAGCTGAATTGTTTGCTAAGAAATTTTCATCAATATCATCTCTTGATTCCACTAGTTGCGTTCTACCTGATATACATGAAAAGGATCTCACTTCAGCATAGGGCTCACAGTGGCTGGTGAACTTTAATTCCGATAAAACTCCTTTTTTTTTATCCTATCTTTATTGCAATAACTTAGACCTTCCTATATTTATGAACGGTAATGTACTCGATGAGTCATCTACCCTTCATCTTCTAGGATTAGCTCTTACTTCCGATCTTTCTTAGAAACCTTATATCAAATCCGTTGCAAAATTAGCATCTGCTAAAGTTGCATCTCATTTTCAAGCTTGACACATTCTTACTCTGGATTCTATTTTTATAAATCTCAAATCCTGGCCTTGTTTGGAATACTGTTGCCATATCTGAGACGGATCTTCTAATGATCCCCTTTCTCTTTTAGACAAGGTGCAAAAACGCATTGTAAACATAGTTAGACCTGCTCTTGCAGCCAACATTTAACCTTAGTCACATCAAGGTAATGTTGCTTCTCTTTCTCTTTTCTACAAATACTATAATGGACACTGCTCTAAAGAGCTAGCGTCTCTTGTGCCATCTACTAAACTTCATTCTCGTGTTACTCGCCATTCAATTAAGTCTCATCCTTTTTCTGTTACTGTTCCTAAGTGCTCCAAAAACTCTTATTTGTCTAGTTTTTTTCCTCGAACATCAGTTCTTTGGAATTCGCTTCCTTCATCTTGCTTTCCTGATTCATATAATTTTCAATTTTTGCAAATTATATTGATATCTGTCAATCGTTTTCTTGCTCTACAATCTTCATCTTTTCTCTTTCAGTAACTTCTAACTCCATTTAGTGGTTGCTTGCAGCCTTGTTGGAAGCAAAATTGTTTAATAATAATAATAATAATAATAATAATAAAAAAAAACATATGCACATATGGTCAAAACTTTTTTCCAATGAGCAAATCCAGATTTTGCATTTTAATAAAATCTTGATCCGAAAATAATAAGTGCTTGAATATCGAATTCGTTTTTTATAGCGATAAGTTATGTCAAATTTTGCTATAATATATTAAAAATAGTTATTTAATATAATATACATAATAATTATATCTATCACAAATTGTAATAAGAAAATGAATTTAAACGGTTTTAATAAATTTAAATAATTTGGGTCTTGATTTTAAAAATAAAGCGAAACCTGGATTTGCTTATTGGAAAAAAGTATTGACCATGCACATTTGATTGCTAAGTTAGCATCTGCTTCTCTTTATCGTGTTTGCCATTTTCTTACTGCTAATTGTATTCTCTATCTTTAAAAATCTCTTATTCATCCCTGTATGGAATACTGTTGTCATTTTTGGGCTTGTTCTTCTAATGATGTTCTTTCTCTAGCAAGGTCAAAATACGCTTAGTAAACGTAATCGGATCTACTCTATCCGCCAAGCATCTCTCACATCGTTGTAAAGTTGCGTCTCTTTCTTTTTTATACTTATACTATCATAGTTGCTGCTCAAAGAGCTATTATCAGTAGTTCCAGCAACCAAAATTTATTCTCACATGACTCATTATTAAGCAAAGTCTCATTGCTTTACTTTATCTATCCCTGCATGCTCTAAAATCTTTGATTTGAATATTTTTTTCCCTGCACTTCATTCCTTTTGAACTTTCTCCCATTTTTATGTTTTCCTTACTTATACAACCTAGAACTTTTCAAGTCTTCTGCCAATTGTTTCTTTGCTCTTTAAATCTATTCTGCATTTTCTAATAAATCCAAACTTAATGGTGGTTGTTGGGAGTGAAAAAAAAAAAAAAAATGCTTATATAAATGTTTAATTAAATATAATAATACAAAACATGACTATAGAAAATTCCTATTGTAAAAATATGGGTTGCAACACCATGTTTATACAGATTAGTTAGGAAGTACGGGAACAATATTTAAATGAAAAATCAATAGACGTTTAGTTAAAGATCATATGTTATTAAAGATCATATGTTATTAAAATAGAAGACGTTTAGTTAAAGATCATATGTTATTAAATTATCTTCAGTAACAAAATTGCAAACAAAATGATCTTTAATGTAAAATAAAAAATATAGAAGCTACCTAAGTTCAATCACTGACAATAATAAAAAAGAATTAAGTCAATTAGCTAAAAAAGTTGTTAACGATAAAATAAAAGATGCTGAAACAAGACGAGATCAGCCAAAGAAAAAAGTGAAATGTTGCAGTTTGATTTTGTAAAATTTATTGAGCAAGTCGAGGAGAAGCAAGATCTAGAGTTAATTTCTAAAGCTAACGCTGTGAAATAAAAATCAAATAAGAAAAACGAAGAAATTAGAGCTGACACTTGGTATCTTAAAATTTTCCTATAATGGATTAGTATCAATTAACTAAAGCGAAGGTAAATTTTAATTTTTTAAAAAATTCTGATAAAAAATATTAAGGGAATATGGTTTAAGTTGCGAAAAAATTATATTCTTTAACATTTACAGGGATCATTATATACGTTTCACCATCCGAACTCTGGGGAAAAGTACTTGAAAACAGGG